AGCAATTGATTTTATGGGGCAGGTTTTGGATAGTCGTCTATTGTTCCTTCACACAATCGCCACAAGAAAGCAACTGTCCAATTGATTTTTTTTTCCCCTGTGACGGCTTTGTGCTTCTGTTCTGTGGCAGATTGTCTGTGATTGTTCACCCAACGATCACATGAGCAATAAAATGAAGGCAGAGTGTTTGGTTTTAAATATTTGCCGGCGGTTGCTCACAAACCTAGCAGACTTGTTTGAAGAAGTCAATAAATTGGTTTCTTATCAAAGAATCAGTGAAGGAGGCCATTCGGCCCATCTTGCCCATGCCGACTCTTTGGAAAAGCTGCCCAATCGGTCCCACTCCCCCATTCCTTCCCCATATCCTTGCAAATTTTTCCTTATCAAGTACCTGTCTAATTCCCTTTTGATAGTTGTTATTGAATCTGTTGCCACCACCTGTTCAGGCAGTGAATTCCAGACCATAACAATTCTTGGGGATAATATTATTTTGACTTTTCAGAAGTTATCTGATTCTTTTGAATGAAATGACACCATGCATTAAATGCTGGATTATACAGGAATTTGGGGTGATTACATACTTTTGATGATAAATGATAATCCTTGCATTTGATATAGTGCCTTAACTCGTCACCGAGATGTCTCAAGTGATTCACAGGATGTGTAGATTGTGTATTTTGTGGGCGAATGTGGCAGACAGTTTTACCGATGAGATGATGAGCGAAAAAGACAGACTGGAGAGTTCATCCTAGATCACCTCCTGTTTACACTATTCGGAATACGTGTGGAGGAGGCTTTTTTTTTTGTTCTGGGGATATTAAACCGTACAACCAGGTCACCAATGTAGGGGAGAATTAAAGCATTCAAATGCATCTGGACAGATTCATGTCGCAAATACCTGGAGTCCTGTGGCTCAGTGGTTAGAGCACTCGCTTTGCAAGTGAGAGACCTGAGTTCAATTCCAGACAGGGCGAAACCTTGGGCAAGTTTCCTTACTCCACACACCTAATAATAATCCCTCCAAAAACCAAAAACAATAATAAATTAGTCATTTTCAATCTACGACTGTTTGTGGGACATTGCTGTGCCCAATTGGCTGCCGCGTTTGCCCACAAATACACAGTCAATTCACTTTACAGTGTGTTCTGTGAAGCGCTTTGGGACGTCCTCCCGACGTGCAAAGCGCTATATCAAATGCAAGGATTATTATTATTGTTGTCCCTCACACCTTCCGCCCCACCATCAGAGGTTGTGCTCTGAGACGCTACCCTGCGTGGAGGGCACTATATACATGCGAGTTGTTGTAGATAAACAGAGGGGTTTGGAGTTAGGAAACTTGCCTAAGGTTTCACCCTGTCCGGGAATCAAACTTGGGTCCTCTTGTTTGCGAGATGGAGGAGGATGGCGTGGTCTTAATGCTCTAAGCATTACGCTACAGGGCTTACAATGAAGCAGTATTGTTGCCTCTGGAGTACCATCTCAGTAGGTGTTGTTTCCCTGTGGCTATGAAATAGCAGGGCCAGAGGCAGCAAAAGGATCAGCCGTACTTCTCATTATTTTTGGCGGATGCCTGCTCACCCTTCCTTGCAAGTTGGTGATGGGAATTCTGACTTGCTGCACCGTATAGAATCCCCTCAAAGAGATCGAGCCAGCGAAACATGGGTCAAATGCACAGCATTGAGTGCCGTGGATATTGCAGAGATGTTTCAAATGGAAGTGACTTTAGCAGTATAAAATTACAGAAGTTATGGACTATCTTTGTTTTGTTCTGCTGAGCACCTGACACACGCGGAGACCAGGGGGCTAAAGTGAGGAATAGCGCAATAAAATTTAATGTGGCGAAGATAAGGCAGTGGCATTCCTAATGAAACCTGACAATAGTTTCTTGCCCTTTCGTGTGGCCAGAGAAAGAGCATTCTGATCTATGGCTGTGTCTAAGTATGCTTGTAAATTGCCGTCTCTGCTGTAGGATTTACCTCTCTTGTTCTCCAGTATTAGAGAGAACAGAAACACAATAGGATGTGGAGCTATTTGAACATCTATCTTCGCAAATTAAATGGAATTACAAACCCCTTATACAAAAATTTGCCTCATAGCGCCTTATCAGGGAAACTTGTACATGGCAAAACATGTAGATGCTCTTTACAAAATCTAATTGCGATATAGGCAAATGAGGCAGCTATCCTTGCCAACAATGTCCGCAAACAGTAAATAGTCAGTTTGCAGTGAGGAGGGGAATGTTATTTATTTCTTTGAAATAGCACCTCAATGTCTCGGCAGACAGGTGCCTAAAATTAATGACACATTGAGAGAATAAGACGATGATCTGGAAATACATAATAAAATTGGGCACGAAAGAGGAAGTTGTTATGGAGGCAAACGCGTGATGCTGTGAGTTCATCGCTAGAGATTGGTATTGGAATTGTTAGTGTTTATAATTTTCAGAAATGATTTGAAGGCTGGCGTCATGCCAAAACTTCCTATATTTACCGATGTTGTGCCAGGGGCTGACACTGGAATTTTTTAGAGTGAGCTTTGATCGTCCGATTTGGGAGTGCTTGTTACTGACTGTATACAAAAACTTGGGCAAAATGTTCCATTTTCCAGCACCAACATCTCTGAGTACACAAAAATTGAGCCTTTTTTTGTTGTTCATGCTGACTAACTTCGGCTACCAGATCCAAGAATGGATTGTTACTGTTTTACAGCGCTTTTATTGCTTTCCGACAATCTGCTCAGCCCCCTAAATCACCAGTTTTTATTGCTCCCAATGAAATAAAATCCATCAACTATATTTCAACCTTCAATCATGTCAAAGTGGCTGTTTTTCCCTTTGGTGTATTGTTTAAGGCCATCCATGGCCTTGCCCCCTCCTACCTCTCTGACCTGCTGACTCCCTACCAACCTGACCGCTCCTTCCGTTCATCGGGCTCCGGTCTGCTCCATGTCTCCCGCCCGACCCGCCCTACCATCGGTGGCCGGGCTTTCAGCCTTTCTGCCCCCACACTCTGGAACTCCATCCCACGGTCCCTTCCCCTCGCTTCCTCCCTTGACTCCTTCAAGGCCGGTCTCAAGACATCTGACTGTTCAGCGCATTGGGACGTCCTCCCGACGTGAAAGGCACTCTATAAATGTAATTGTGTTGTTCTTGTTTGGTTAGGTTGCAAAATGGGTGGTGAACAAATGCAACCCTTTATATTCTGCAGTATACCATTTGCATTCAATGCAAAGGTAGGTGAGGCTTAACAGAGACGAGGGAAGTTGGGATTATTCTCCTTAAAGCAGAGATGGTTAAAGGAAGATTTAATAGAGGTGTTCAAAATTATGAGGGGTTTGATAGAGTAGATGGGGAGAAACTGTTTCCCCTGGTAGGTAGGTCAGTAACAAGGGCGTTTAGAGTTAAGATCATTGGTGAATGAACCAGAGGGGAAATGCAAATTTTTTTTTTACCCAGAGAGTTATTACAGTCTGGAACGCACTGCCTGAAAGGGTGGTGGAAACAGTGTCAATAACAGCTTTCAAACAGAAATTAGATAGGTACTAGAAAAGGAAAAAAAATGCAAGGATATGGGGAAAGAGCAGGGGAGGGGGACTGGTTGGGTAGCTCTTCCAAAGATCCGGCACAGGCATGATGGGTCGAATGGCCTCCTTCGGTGCTGTAATATTCTATGATTCTATGAACGTTCTTGTTCACGAATGATCTGCTGCAGGAAGTCGGTTGATCTGCTGCTCCTGATAGACTTTTGTTCAAATTAAATATTCATGCAATCAGACTTCTCATTCATGTGGTGCAAGTGTTCTCGGGCTTTTTACAGTCAATTTTTAAAAACTGCAAATGATTGCAAATAGTTTCTTGATTACTTGAAGGTAATCTGCGTTCCGGTCCATGAAGAAGAATATGTTTGATTCTATAAATGATTTTAATATTTGATTTTAATAGTGGTCTCTTAATGGTGTCTTTTTTATTAAAATACAAAATTGCTGGAGTGTTACATTTTCCCCAGGCCCTTTGGCTTAATGTATATGTTTGTGCTGAATGTTTCGGAAAAAAAATCCGGAGCCAAAGAAATTTACGGCTCAGAAGGAGGGCATTTGGCCCATCAACAACAACAACAACAACAACAAGATTCCATTTATTGAGCGCCTTTCACGTCGGGAGGACGTCCCAAGGCGTCCATCCATCGTGTCGGTGCCAGCTTCCTCGAGCAATTCTTTCAGTCCCACTCGCCTGCCCTTTCCCCATAACCATGTAGTTATGTACTACTCTTTTTAAGGTATCTATCCAGTTCTTTCGTGAAGGCTCATATGGATTTGGCTTCGACCACTGCTCCCAGCATTCCATATCCTCACTGCTCTGTGTGATTTTTTTTTTAGCAGCTGTTTGGCATCAAATAACAACAATTTGTATTTATTTAGGGCCTTCGTGCACGGTAGCATCCTAGAGCCCCCAAATGATCAGGGCTCAAGTCATATGAACGTCATTGTTTCCCCATTAATCTCAAAGTAAAGAGTACTCCTTACGGCATCACTGAATTTTCCACTTCCTACATCAGACACCCTCTGGCCTCTGAGTCACGCTGCCAATTAATGAAAAAATTAAAAGCNTTTTTGCAACGAGCCCATTCCCATTACCAACACGGACGCATTAGCAGGTGACTTTTTTAAAAAGGTACTTATCAAAGCTTTTTGCATTTGTGTTCCAGGGAGATGTATTTTTTTTAAACTGGCGCCCTCAATCCATTCAATCCTGGTTTCCATGGCTAAGGGCTGATGTAGTGACAGAGATGGGAGCGCTGTTGTTTGTCTGCCACACACTGACAATCAATCAGGCGTCGCTTTGCGGCTTCCTGAGCTGAAGTGGTTCGTTCCAACTTTAAATCCGTTCCTTTTCCCCCTAAATGGAATTTGCTGAACTTCCTGCTTCCTGGTGTTTGTAAATTAGGATGTCCTGTAAAAAGAAGCCACTCTGAAACATATTGTGTCCGTCCTTCTCTTCCCAGTTGTTTGCAATGTACTTATGACAGCAGCCATGAAGCACAGGAAAGAGAAGTCTTGCTGGTTGTTAACATGATGCAGTGGAAAATGTCTTAACCTGAGGTAAGCACATCATCATGATATTGTTTTTTTTTACCCCCGCATTTGCATCATCAATTCATCATTGATACTTAAATTGTTTACGGAGTGTCCTGTAGCGTATTGGTTAGAGCACTCGCCTTCAGGGCAAAACCTGAGACAAACATCCTTACTCCATACGCCTCTGTTTACCTAGCAGTGAGTAGAAACACGGTTGTTAGTTGATTGGCTTTCTGGGGGTAATAATCACTTCAAAATTAATAATAATAATTAATAATTTGGTCACTCAATTCCTGGCTGTTTGTAGGACACTGCAGTGCGCAATTGGCTGCCGCATTTTGCCCACAAAATATACAGTCAATTCATTTTACAGCGTAATCTGTGAAACGCTTTGTGACATCTCAACGACATGATAAGGCGCTATATCAGATGCAAAGATTATTATAATTAAACTATAATGATAATGGTCTCTTCTAGGTAGCGATGGTTATTCCTTAAACAAAAGTTGATTCTTTCGACAATAAAGATGTCAGAGGTACAAGCAACTGTGGAATTCTCAGTGGAGTTACATAAGTTCTACAATGTGGATCTCTTTCAGAGGGGGTAAGTGAACTTTTCATTGTTTCTCTTTGTTGGTTCTGTCCTTGTCACAATTATTAATAATAATAATAATCCTTGCACGTTAGAAAGACACCCCAAAACCCTTCACAGGATATATTGTAAGGTGCAGTGATGGCATTTTATGGGCGAACGTGGCAACCATTTTGCACACGGCAATGTCTCACAAACAGCATGAAGTGAGTGACTAAAAAGTGAAACTGGAGATGAACTGTACAACTTGCTTGCATTTTTTTTGACATGAGAGTTATTTCTGTCTAAAGCAAGCATGCCGTATGCTAACTGCCAATGCGGTTAACACGCATCTTGCAAGATGCAGTCACCAAAGTGCGTAGTTTTTCAAAAATACTGGAGTAGCTCAAAGTGGCTGTACATTTTGGTGAATCGACTGGTGATAGGATTGTAATTTTACCATGGAAAGATTTGGTGCAGTGACAGCATTTGTCTTTTTAATGGACCCTTTAAAGTTCTGTCAAAAACTTAATTGTCAAATATCTCTCAACATTTTTTTGTCACCTTTCTTTTAGTCATTCACCCCATAGTCTCCAAACACCTATCTTTGGCGTAGATAAGAAATCTGACTCATGACATAATCCACCCAACATGCATTCTGTAAACTTGTGATTAGTCTGTACTTGCAATACTTGCCAATAACAGGTGACTCTTACTTCTACACTCTTTTGGTTTAGAAAATTATGGTTTTTCCCTGGTTTTGCATGAGTCCCACAATATCATTATGTTCCGTATACCCATCATCAAACTGGTTTTGAAATACCCACTTTTTAAATACATTTTGCTTGTTAGTACAATCATAAGACATGTTTGTTGTTTCTGTTACGTGTGATCTTAACCCAATGAACATATCTGATGACTGTTGCGTGTTTCTCAATTTAAGAAATTTAATTTATTGAATAAAAACACAAAGCAGAAATTAATTTCCGAGGATGTAGGGGAGTGGATAGATCCCCTTTTTTTTTAACGCTCCCACATTCATTTATCGTAAGGGTTAGCTATAGATTAAAACACCCTTTGCTCACACAGAAAACATTCATACTCTACGGCACAAGATTGGGACGGTTATTTTCTCACATCAAGCATCATCCTCTTGTGTGAGATCATTGTTGAGATGCATTTTAATTCATAGCAGAGGGTGCATTTGATCATCCTTGAGCCAATATAGTACCACATGTGGTAACACCACCACCTGTGGAGAGGTACTGTAGTCCGCAATTTAGGGTCAGTTGACTCCGGATCAACTTTACAGCGATAACTTCATTTATAAAGCACCCTTCACGTAGGGTATCGTCTTGAAGTGCTTAAAAGTGGCGGAGCTAGACTCCCACTGGGAGAGAAAGGAGGTGACTGTAGGCATGGTCTTCAGGTGCGATCTGAAAACTGGCAAGGAGATGGTAAGGCAACGGGATTCAGCCAGGGGTTTCCAGAGTTTCGGGGCGGAGTGGCTGAAAGCACATTCGCTAATGGTGGGACAGAGGGGATGAGGCACGTGCAAAAAGGCTGATGTGAAGTAACTGTTCCTGTTCAAGTGGATTGAGCCACTTATAGATGCACACGACTCTTCTAGTTTGTGACTTCACTGGAGTATCCTTACAGTTGAGGCAGCAGCTTCCAAAGATCCGAGAGAAGTGAGGAAATTCGTTTGTCATTTTTCTATAGTTGGACGGAGTGCTGTGAATTGTAAGTACTCCCTTAAACCCCTGAACAGGCTAGTTTTCGGGACCTTGGGACACCCTCCTGATGTGAAAGCAGCTACATAAATGCAATTTGTTGTCGTTTCGTAAGAAACCCTTCAAACTGATATTTCTCAAAACACGTGCAAGTCTTAGAGAGACGAATATGTTCTGACAAAATCCTCAGCAAATGTGAAAAATGCATGTGTGTCACCGATTACCTGCAGATGACCACAGCCTGATATTGTTTCTGATTGAGAATTTGAATTGTATTCTGGAGAAGAAGACCCATTAAAGTTTGAAGACCAGGTTTGGGATGAAAATGTACCTCTTTTCTATCGGTTTGTTATTGCGGAAATAGATATGGGAAACTTGTATTTAGATTTGTCAAGCGAACTAGTTGTTACTTGGTATATAGAATTAGACAGAACTGATTCACTGGCTAAAATGGAGTCCTGTAGCTCAGTGGTTAGAGCACTCGCCTTGCAAGCGCGAGACCTGAGTTCAATTCCAGGCAGAGCGAAACCTTGGGCAAGTTTCCTTACTCCACACACCTCATAATAATCCCTCCAAAACAATAATAAATTGGTCATTTTCAATCCACGACTGTTTGTGGGACATTGCTGTGCGCAATTGGCTGCCGCGTTTCGCCCACAAAATATACCGTCAATTCACTTTACAGTATATTCTGTGAAGCCCTTTGAGACGAGATAATGGGAATAAAGCCAGCTAGGCTTTCTACTCCTAATTGTTATTTCAAAACATGCAAAAACATAAAATTGCTAGACAAAAGAAGACAAAGGTCCATCCAGTTTGCTTTGCACCATCCTGGCAGTCGCACGCACATATCTTGTCCTGCATCCGAAGATATTATTTCCTAAAATAAATCTAACTTGCTTTTGAAAGAATCAGACTTTTTGCGGCTTTGTTGACCGTGTGCATATGTGGATGTCAGGAAGGAACAAATTTGGATTGGGCTTTGGAAGCTCTTCTGGTTGAATTGCCCAACAACACTCGTGGCTGTTGGCTGTGAGTGTTGGAGACGTATTTGGAGACTAATTATTTGTGGAGCTACATTGGACATTGAATCATCAGCTTAAGGGGAAGGGTGGGGAGGGGAGGCTCGCCTCGCATCTAAAAAAAGTTGTGCTTTTTTTTAAGCTTCAGTGATGTAGATATTTTTAGGCCAACATTCAAGACCTGGTTTGGTCTGGTTTTATGATACAAAATGGGACTGAAAGTTGCCTGTACCATAGCAATCCTTGCATTTGATAAAGCACCTTTCATGTTGGAAGGACTTCTCAAAGTGCTTCACCGGATCTACTGTAAAGTGTAGTGACTGTATTTTGTAGGTGAATGTGACAGCCAATTTTGCATACAACGACCCACAATTGTAAAGCGAAAACCATGCAAAGCTGCTTATGCTTCTTGATCAAAGCATTTGTAGGCGCTGATCTTATCTATGCATGTGACAAAATTAGCTGAAATGTTAATGTGTAATGAACAATAGCAGCAATTGTTATGAGAGCAGAATTATCACGTGTTTTGGGAGAACTCAAGATTCAGGAACTGTGGCTCTGAACTGAGAGTCAGGAGTTATTGAACTTGTGCAAGTTCGACTATTCCGAAGGTGACCTCTTTAATTTCTAATAGCCATAGAGTCTATCTGAAATACATTAATAATAACGCTTGCATTTGATATAGAGCCTTATCATGTTGAGATGTCTCAAAGTGCTTCAAAGAATATATTGTAAAGTGGATCGACTGTACATTTTGTGGGCAAAACTTGGCACCCAATTTTCCACAGCAGTGTCCCACAAACAGTCGTGAATTGAGTGACCACTTATTTTTTGTACCAACATAATTTAATTGTTTTCCTTTTTAGGTGCGACAGTGAATAATAATATTATTAATAATAATCCTTGCATTTCATATAGTGCTTTATCACGGCGCTGAGACATCTCAAAGTGCCCCACTATATTTTTAATATTCTAGTACCTCCCTCCCCATTGAATTGCTCATTTTAGAAACCAAATCGTATCCTAGTTACTAAGCCAACAGGATTGATGTTAGTGTATTTTTAATTTCTGACGTTCATGTCTGAATCTTCAGAATATGGTTCAAACGAGAGCGATTTATTTGCATGACATTAAAGAGGTGCCCTGTAGCTTCTCCCATCCTTCAATCTGTTTACTGGGAACTGTGAAAAGGATTTGGGCAAACTGAGCAGAATCGGTGTAATATAGTCAATTCACTTTACAATATGTTCTGTGAAACACTTTGAGATGTCTCAGCAATGTGATAAGGCGCTATACCAAATACAAGGATGATTATTTCGAACTCTTGTCTAGTTTGGATACTCTTAAGCATAATAATGTGTGTTATCCACCTGACTAACAAACAAATAAAGGAGGGGTGGGATGTTGGGAATGTAAACAGTCGCAGACTATTTAGTCTGAATTGACTATTCGCATACTGCACATTCTATATAATTCCAAGAGGTATGAATTAAGAGGAACAAACAAAGCAATCCATTAACAAAAACAGAAGTCAATTCAAAGCAATCCATTGTCGACTGGAACCCCCATTGCAACACTCAAAAATGTAGGGAATTTCAATTATTTTCAGATTAGGTTGCTCACTCAGCTTTGATTTGAACCCGACCAAATATATCTGTGTAATTGGAACATGGGGTTAGCTGCATTATTGAGTGAAACCAGCTATTTTTAGTACTTAAAATTTTGTAATCCTCTTTGCATTCCTCTCTGGGTGCCAGAATGCTTAAATATTAATGTCAAAGTTATAAGCACAGTAAACTCCTAATAACTCGTCACTGAGCCCTCCAACCATGGCGTGATGAGTTATCAGTTTACTGTATGCAGCCACAGCTATTGTTAGATCTTAAAATCTTTAATGGGCAAGAAACTGGGAACGTAGCACAAATGTTTTGGCGGAAGTAATTGGATTTCAGACCCATTTATTCAGAACTGAGACATTAGTTTGAAGGCTTCTTACTTTAAAGCTGTGTAAGATAAATGTAATGCAGTGCATTTTTTACCAGGCTTAAATTTTGTTAAGAATGGGTATTTTTAATATAATAATACTTACATTTGATATAGCGCCTTATCACATCATTGACAAGTATCAAGCGCTTCACAGAATATTTATTATGAAGTGGACTGACTGTAAATTTTGTGGACGAAATTCAGCAGTGAATTGCGCTGTCATCGATTAAGTGACCACTTTTTTTTGAGATGGAGGGATTATTACCCCCTGGAAAAAGATGCGCCAATCGAT